GATTGGCCCAGAAATTTGAATTTTGCGACCTTAAGGTCTAACCCCGAGCCTTTACCAAATTACCAAACACCTTTTGGTTAATGTCCCTTTTTGCTCTGCTTATAAACAGATATTGTGAGCTTAGAGGTTTTGATTTTACCTACCCAATATTATTATTATTATTTTTTTTGTGGGCACTGTTTTGAAAATAGTTAGGGTACGACATTGATCCTTCATGTCCTACGGATTTTAAGTCCGTTTGGGATTCTTTAACAACGTCCACATTTAAGCCTCGTTTGACAAGTGATGATTTAATTAACAAAGTTATTAAAAAAAAATTAAAAAATCAATAATTATATACCAAAAAATCCAAAAAATTCTGTTTTCTCTTTCACTTATTTAAGTACTATCTCTTTAATAAAAAATCAAAAATTAGTTACAAACTTACTAATTTTTTATCTTTATATTTTAACTAAAAAAATTTAAAAAAATTACCAAAAAAATATATTCCTAAACAGAGCCTATTGGCCTTTTTAATGTAACTTCCCGTAGTAGAAAAAAGTCCTTTTATGAAAAAAAGACTTTTCAGATATCGACATTTTAAGAGGCAAGAACTTTAATAAAAATGGATATATTGTGCGTGGTAGTTTATTTTAAAGTCCTACAAAATTAAGAACTATTTTAATGGGTTTTTTAATTGATAATTTTATTAGAGGTGTCATCTAATCTAAAAATCTATAACATAATTAATTTAATATTTATACTTTTATTTCATAAGTTCTTTTTTCCTAATTTATATTGTTTGTTAAACTATTATTACCCTTATATACTAATTATTTGATATGTATTAGTATAGGAAAAAAGGATATACATATCTTCTTTTTTGCCAACTACCTCTTATTTTGGTAGTTATTATATTCAACGTTTTTTGTTTTTTGATCAGTTTCATTCATATTTGTTAATATTGTTTCATCTGTGTTAGGATTGAAACCCCTCTATTGTACGGGTTAAAAAAGCTTTAGTTTACATCATGAGCAGTGAAATATATTATATCCTCTATGTTACGGTGAAGCTTTTGCTGTTTCCTCCTATAGTCACTTTGGTTTTTTAAACGTTTGTGTTTGTCCATTACTATGTTTCCTCTGTTGTTGTAAGTTGAAAACTTTGTTGATGTTTCAGTGAATTTTTTAAAAACATTATTTTCAAAAGGTGGGTTTTGCTCGATTTGGAGTGGTGGAATTGCGTAAAAATTGCACTATATGTTAATGATGATGATAAATGATAAAGATAAGATGAAGATGAAGATGATGATGTGGGTGATATCATATATTATTTATATATATTATAGTGATAGAGTTTTTTTTTGGATTTCTAATTCTACTTGCGTTCGTTGTTTTTATTTTTTTGTCGCCAATTAGTGTGAATGTCTCACATTCACATTACACATTATTGAAAGTCTAAGAAAATGTATCCTAGGAATATAGATAGTTAGATATATTATATATTTTGCCAATATTGGAATGTTCACAATATCATTGGTTATTTGTTAATATACTTGTTTCTTTGACAATCATTTTTTTTGTTATCATTAATAATGAAATAGTCATTTGGTTTTTCCTTCCCAATTTCAACTTACAACAAAAGAGTCTTATGGAGGACGAAAATTATTTAACGAAAATAAATTTCAACAAAAGACTTACCTTTTAGTGAAGAAAATCAATATTTCTTCTCCAAATGCTGTCATTTTTAGAGCAGAAAATAAAATTTTATCACCAATCATATACAGAAAAAAAATTAGATTTTCGCCATATATTTTTATTTTTTTTTTATCACCAAAAATTTTTTCCCCTATTAAAAATTTGAAAGAAATTAAACCGCCAATGTTAGTTGACAAAAAAAATTCCATCCCCATTAAATAATATTATTAGTTGTTGAATAAATATTTTCACCAAATATTTCAATTGTAAAAACTACCTAGTTTGTGTTTTGGAGCACAAATTCTATTTACTCACAAATCCATTCTCTGACCCAAAATAATCCATTGCTCTCAATTTCACACGCAGAGGCATACAGACTGATACCTTCGTTCAAAGCTCTTCTTTCTCTTCTCTCGCACCATTGTCCAACTCGCACACGCGTCCACGAATTCCAGGTTAGTTGTAGTCTCTGTTCTCTTCTCTTACCCCTCTCTCTATTCGGGTCCTCGTTTCATTCCTACCCTTACTCTGTCTACAGACGTGTGTGGGTCAAGATGAGATTAAAAAGCCACTTCCATTCATTACTTCTAACATTTTCTATAAACTCCTAAGGTTCCATGAAACAATTATGAATGATTTTAATCTGGGAACAAAAAAATATGAACTTATGATGGACTAACATGTTTCTATATTTGATTATATATTTCATATTATAACCAATATAATCATGAATTTGAATGGATTAGTTGTTGATTCTACACATTGTAAAGGTCTTCATGATACTTCTAATTGTGTTTGCTAGGTTGTTTGAAAAATGCCCACAATGGCTAGTTTTTTTTCTTTATGTTTGTTTTGTTTTTCGTTTCCTTTTTTTTGTTGTTGTGGAGAATACTCCGTCAATCTTAGATCTCTCCCATGGAGTTTTGGCTTGTGGTAGTAAATTACTTCAACCCAAAATTGGATTTTTTCAGTGTTGTGTTAATTAAATCCTCTTATATGAATATGACTTTCCAATATAGTTGTATATGTTACTGAATTATTTTTATTTTCTTAATAATGTATCTTTCAACTAGCAGTATAAGTTTATAAATAATGATTAATTTATTGTTGCTGACAGGCCTTCAAGCAATGTTTCAACTTGGGGAAAATGTATGTCATTAACTATGTCTTAGTTTTTTTCAACATTTTATTTTTCATTATCCATATTAGTAACTTGGATTTGGTGTTTGGCTCGTTTATTGGTCCTCATATGTCAATTTAGAATTTTGGATTGACCTGTTCTATAGTTAAGGTCATTGGCTCTACAGGAAGTGTATTGTCAATCGTCATAATTTATTCTGAAATGTTGAGTTGGTTTGTGTATTTTATTTCTTTCGGGTAGCAGGGGGAGTCCCGAACTTTTCTTTATTCTGGGGTGCAAGACAGTCTCTCATTTTTTTGCTTCTTTTTCCCTAGCATGACAACGAGTAATGATATCAAAGTTTAGTGTAATTTGATGAATACATGATTGCTTTTGTATAATAGATTTAGAGCTTTCAGAACCAAGAAAAAATTTAGTAGATCTTAATGATTGTCACGTTATTAGTCAATTCATGCTGATATGTGGTTAGGTTTTGTTACACAGTTCTGTTGAATTTTATGCACCCTGGTGCTGTCACTTGCAAAAACTTGGCCCCCAATCTTGGATGAAAGGTTGTTGTTTCGCCTTGAAAGTGATGCTGATGTTGTCATTGCAAAGATTGTAAGACCTACAACCCAAACTAGTTAAAGGTACTTACTTTGAAGAAGATTTGTGTTGCTTTGTCAGTATAAGACGGTTATTTCTGCAAATATTGTGCACGTGAATTATGTTTTAATATTATTCTAAGTACCTTTCCTTTAATGTTATTTTTTGCCCTGCCAAATTGAAATCGTTTTCTTCCGTCATTCTAGGTTGCTGGTTCATGTACTGCTTCATCTATGGCTACTAAAAACTGAAGAGTAAAATTGTTTTTCCTTTAGGCTTCACAACAATATAATAGTAAAAAATTTTTTTATTAATCTTAGCTATATATTTTTGGCTCATCTATGTTGTTTATTCTCATCCATTATCTACATTTTGCTTTCTGATTATTGATATGATTTTCTTATTTGTATCTCATCGGTTATGATTTTTTCTGCACCAATACCATGAAATTTTTCTTTACCGCATTGAATATTTGTTTTTGATTACAACTTACTTAGGTTTCATCTGCGTGATGTGATCCGTTTATTGTTACAAATTTTATTCCTGAATTGCTCCAACATTTTGTACTGTTGTCTAGGATGCCACTGCAAATGATGTACCAATTGATATGTTTTCGACTGAAAGGTAATCCAACATTGTACTCAAGTCAGCAGGTGGAAACTCTGTTGCAGTACATGGGGAACGTACCAAAGAAGATACCAATTGACTTTATTTAGAAGAACTCAGGGCATAAACCTGCCCAGCAGGAAGCTGGAGAAGATGAGACCAGCAGAACCTTGGAAAAGATGACTGTAATGAAGTATTTTGTGGTAAACATTACAATTTTTGTTTATTCTTTAAGGCAGTTAGTGTCCCAGATTTTGTAATCAACAAAATGTAACATGCACTGGCCTGGCTTATGTGAATTGGCGGCAGCTGTGTGGACTGTTATTGGGGCAAATTCGTGGGCCACTCCTTGGCCCACTATTGTGAAGAATGATGTTACTTGTGCTAACTACTGTATCTGGAGGAGAGAAACTATAGGATGTTTCTCATTTTCCCCATTTCCTTTCTTGTTGCAGCGCTATGCTTGTACTTACTTAGGGATGTATAGGTGTAGGTTGAGTGATTGTGAGCCACCTCAGTTAGGAGTATTGATTGAGATTCTTGAGAGTTGAGAGTGTTCTGTTTATGAGGGAATTTGAGCCCATATATGAGTGTTGAGAGATGTGAGACCTCCATATTCATGTATTCTTGCTTATTATCTTGCTTTGCAGGTTGTCAAGCTGGTCTCATGTAGGGAGGAGGGTTGAAATGGTGAGTCCCTATAACTAGGCTCAGTTCTGTGGGTTGAGTGATGGTGAGCCACATAGTTTATCTAACTCTTCTTCTGCAGGTTGTCAAGCTGGTCCTAATTGTAAGGGAGTTTTTTTGTTGAGGGTTAAGTGTTTGGATAGCTCTCATAAATTGTTTAGAGTGTTTTGTGTTGCCTATTGAGGGTTGAGTGAATGAGGACTAATTTTGTGGGCAGTTTTTACCCAACTTTGTTTTATAAAATGTAAATTTGTCATTGGGGTTTGCTGGAACTTGAACGAACAGTATATTGAATCTGTTGAACCTCCCCATAAGTCGAATATGTGATGGTTGAACAGATTTCTTTTAGGCCTGTGAACATCTGTTTCTGGTTGTTTGCAGCTGATTTTGTTGTTTCGAATATGCTGTGATGGATTTCCTTCTGTTATGCTGACTGTGTCCGCAGTTGTTGTTCTGCTGGTATGCTGGCTGGTTTATTTCTCTGCTGGCTGCAGCCCATGCTGTGTCACACCCCAAACCCGCCTCTAAGAGTTTGGGCATGGCCAACCTGATAACAGATTCAAAATTCAACAATCGATAGGATAATTATCTTATGCAATACGGGACCTGAACGGAAGCAATTATCAGTTTAAAATAACATTCATTGAGCTAGTGTTTACATGCCAAGATCACAAAACATTTCATTGCATAAACCTATACATAATGAAGCATATACATAAGTAACAACTATATATATATATACAGTCTCAACCCCGCATCTGGGGTATAACTAAAACATCGATAATGAAGGTTATACATGACTAACAACATTTGACAAAAGGCTAGTGGCCAATGTTATGAGCTATGAAAAGAACTCCACAAAAATGAATAAGCTTCATCTAACTGCTTGGACACAGCGGGGTTGACAAAAGAAAAACTGCTAGGCTGGACTAGGATTGACCTCTGAGTTGATTACCTACAGAGATATACATAACACGGAGTGAGCAAGGCTCAATGAATAATAGTATGCAGGGGATTCAAATGAATGAACATGAATCACGCCGCATATAAGCGCATAGATCAGATGTTTGGTCTTATTTTGTAAATATTTCCAAAACGGCCTTGGGCCCAATATTTACACAACATGGTCTCAGGCCTAATATCATGCAGAATGGCCTCCGGCCCAACATATTGTACAGAACCGCCTCAGGCCCACATCTCAACAGCTTTTCACATATTGGAGGGTAGGTAGAGCATCGACATGTACACTATCTCCCTTGGCCTTAGGCCATGAATCATAGTCACTTCAAATCATATTTGGGTCGGCGAGACATCGGCATGTCATCGTCTCCCTCAGCCTTAGAGTTGTCCACATTCAGTGGCTTATAACTGAACGGCCTCAGGCCCATCACTAGCAAAGCAGAACGACCTCAGGTCCATAAGGATATTGTTGCTCAACAACACATAGGTTTCCCAGTTGTTCACTATAAGGAGACATAGCTTACTTATGCATAACAAAACGCTAATGATAACTATTAGCAGTAAACGAAACGCATCACTACACTACTATTACTCACAGTACTGTGGCGGAGCGATAGTCCTTTCCTGTATGTGATCTACACACATGCAATTTATAAATTAGTCCATTTTCCTTTTTAATCAATATATGATTCGTTCGACATTCATTTAATTATAAGCATTTTAAAAGCTTCAGATACACATTTTAGCAATCCCAAAGGGTCAAACAGGAGAAAAGAAGCACACAGTATTTTTCTACATGGGCCGCACGTGCGGAAGCCCCTTGTTGCACGTGCAGGAAGATGGGCCGCACGTGCGTCCCACACGTGCATATATTTCAGAATTCCAACTTTGCACTCCCCTATTTTCTGCACGTGCGGTTGTGAGCCCTGTACGTGCGGTGGTGCTTCCCGTACGTGCGATGATGACCCCCGCACGTGCGGTCGCAGCCCCTGTTTTGGGCAGTCCGAATCAAGGCACAAATTCAACAAGGCAAACATATCACAAAGGAGAAAAATGGGGAAATCACCTCAATACTATAACATAATATTACCATAACATGAATCATAAATGATAATACCATAATGAACATGAATTACAAGTTTATTTAGATCATAATCTTTTCTAGATTCACATACACAATTCAATTCCCCCATGGTTGTGGTTAGATTTGATATATGAACAATACATGTGTATAATCATACGAGTTCCAATATGAAAAATCAAAGAATAGGATATATTCCCCCATATAGCTCAAATTAATTTCAAAACAACCAAATGATAAGCACATCTTTCCAATTAGTCAAATATCACACACAAGACCTCAATTACAAACCCTAACTTGCATGAATATCAAGGAAATTCTTACTCAAGTCCAAGAGAGAGGTTATTCAAGGTGGGTTATACATACCTTGAGCTCAAATCTCAACAATCCTTCACAATTTCCCAATTTTCTTCCTTGTTGAAGCTTCCTCCCTCTTGCTCTCCCTCTCTGACCCTCTCCTTCTCTCAGGAGATATTTTTGTTTTGTGATATAGCAAGTGACCAACATAAGAGTTTTAAACGTATATTTAAGGGTTAGTCATAAATTAATCAATTTAATCATTCCGACTCAAATTTTTACGAAAACTCATATTATGATTTAAAAATCATGCTTATTACAATTATAAAGTCAATTTCGAGTTATCAAGCTTTTAAGGCTTCCAATTACTAATTCAAACATCGCAATTGTAACAGATTTTTCTCCTAATTAATAGATATAAATCCATAATCATATAATTCAGGCAATTAAACTTAATTTCGCATGGAATTTTACATTAAACATATAAGTGCACCTAATAAGAGACCGAAAGCATACCAGAAAGCATATAAAAGGGTCGGGTTATTACATGTTGATTGCAGTGTTCTTTCACCTCTGTAGCAGCTTTGCTGCTGTGATTCCTTTTTGCAACACTTTATTAGTTTTTCTGCAACATCTGCAGGAGTCATATGGATATCCTCCAACAACACATTAATTCTGACAAACAAATTATGTGATTTGATATTAAAATAGTTTTTCTTCTACCCGCTTGCTTATGATTTGTTACAGCTATAACTTTTGTGTAATCTTCATGTTAAATATAATTAAGTTTAGGTGAATGTTTTTCTTTGAACACTTATTAGTTATGCTGTGTTTTTCTTTGAATGTTTTGGCCTCAGGTTTTGTGGATCTTGTAACGAGTTTGATCTTAAGGTGACTCTTCTCATAGGCCTTAGACAAGAATTGATACACATTGATATATATATATACACACACACGCATGTACACAATCACACACGTGGATGAGGTTAAGGGTGAACGAAAACCCATAATGGTCTTAAGAGGTTGAGAGTGAACCTACTGAAAACCCGGATATGTTATATTTGTTGTATGGGTGAATTTCGATAGTTTTTGTTTTCAAATGGCAGTTATGATGGTAAATTGACAAAAGGAAAATGGTAAATTGATTGCAGTTATGATGAACATCTATAACTATGTTTGTGTTTATGAGCTATTCTCATGAAGTCTGAAGTAGTTAGTCTCAATTGTTCTCATTGATATGTGTTATAATATATGTCTTTGTTGTGGGATTCACACTTGCAATTAATCTCAACCATAACATTGCTCTTTTACAGGAAAAGTTTTTTGGTTGTGTAATATTTGCTCTCTCTCTCTCTCTTTGGTCCTGAAAGTTGTGGATAGAATTGTACTCATAATTTTCCTTCTAAAAATTGTACTCATAATTTTGTGCTGCTCTTTTAATTAAGATTTAATTGTGTGTTTTCCTTTTATCTTTTTATTGTTTTCGTTTTTAAGAAAGTAAGATTATTTGCAAGTGCGTATTGTGCAGAGAGGAGCTGTCCAGCCTTTGATTGAGATGCTTCAATCCCCAAATGTACAGCTTAGAGAAATGTCGGCCTTTGCACTGGGTAGGTTGGCACAGGTTAGTGCTTATTTTTTTCTTTCTCTTATTACTAAAAAATTACAATTAGTTGATACGGTTGACCTGTAAATTTGCTGCCATTGTACCCACAGATGTTGTCTTCCAGCTAACTAATGATTGTTAGGTGTGTATGATGAGTCAAAGTTAATGCATCCATTGAATTTCTAAACTTTTCAAAACTTTGGTTGTGTAGGTCATAACTAAGGAGATGGAAGTTATTTTTCAATGATAGGGAATACTGAACAAAAAAAAAAGATGGGGAATATTTTTTGTTATAATTGCTTTGAATTCTTTTTGTGAAAAGAACAAAAGCAAAAACAAACTTTGTATTTCTGGTTAGTAGATTCTTGTGAAATTAAAATGACACCATATTTTGGTTCAAATGATGTTGAGTGGTTCCATGCTATGGATACCTCCTTGCGGTGGCATGGTGACAAGAAGAGAGAAAAAAGCAGGCATCTATGTAGGTGCATGGTTTTAAAATTTGATGTCTAGTCATGTTAAGTGGGCCAAAGTTGTTCTCAGATAGGTGCCTATATTGAACAACAAGATGGCCAAACTACTGAAGGTTCCTAGAGTGTGGTTTATATATGTGCCTTCCCATTATTATCATATTCCAAAATTTCCTTCTTGTTTTTGTCAGTTCCTCTTACATGATACGCTGTCTTCATATTTGTAATTTCTATAATTATAAACTTTATTGAGTACATTGTGTAGCCAAGACACTGAAAAGATTAGAGGAGAAGATTCAGGGACGGGTGAGCATTTTTTTGTATGTAGATGTTAAATTATATGATTATGGTTTAGTTCTAGTGCTTTTTTATGCACATTCTTGAATCTAAATCCCTTAATTTCTTTCTCCCTTGTAGGTTTTAAGCCATTTGTTATATCTGATGCGTATAGCAAAGAAGACTATTCAAAGACGAATTGCTTTGGCTCTTGCCAACCTTTGTTCTGCAGAGGATCAGAGAACAATATTCATTGATAACAATGGTATGCCATTTTCTAGGCTGACATTTGACATAATTGAAATTGTTGTCCCTATTGATTTCAATTGCTTATATCACTTGTGTGGAGGATTAGAGTTACTACTTGGTTTTCTTGGTTCCACGAACCTAAAGCAGCAACTTGATGGTTCTATAGCCTTGTACAAGTTGGCTAACAAAGCCACAACTCTTTCTCCCATTGATATGGCTCCTCCATCTCTGACACCACAGGTGTGTGTCCTTTTTATTGTTAGTTTATTTGGCCCATGTGTTCTGTTAGATTTGGAATTATTTCAAACAATTAGCAGGACTAGTATTTGGTAGATTTCATGAAAATATCAGTTGGCTTTTAATTTAAGAAATTTTGAATCTATTGTTTATTTTAATTGTGTACGTGCATCTTGCAAGAGTTAGGATCCTAGAGTAGAGTAGTGAGGCTATTAGCTTTTTACTAGACAATTGTTGAAATATTAATTGTGCTGTACTCAAGACCTCTGTCTTAAAGGGGTTTGGGCTTGTTGATTTGACCAAATTTCCAGCTTCTACAGTAATTACTGCTAATCGGGATTTAACTTTTATCATATTTCCCTCAATGTGTACCTTTTAGAGTTATATGCCAGTTATATTCTATTAAGGTTAATGCTAATATCTAACTTTTTATCGTAAATTAAACAATAGATGACTATTCTATGTCTATGCAGCATTTGGTTAATACAAGTCAAAACAAGTTTTTTTTTGTTGTTTTTGTTTCATTTTTGAGTTCTGATGACCATGATCTGAATCAAGATATACCGAACTTGCATGCCGTGGTTCAAAGCCTCCATCCAAATATAACTCTATGAAAATTTGTAATTTACTAATATATTTATAACAGTGAGATGGGGAAGTATCCTAACTTGAAATTAATGATGTTGTAAACATCTAAAATAAACTATCTATCTACGTCTTTGTTGTTATTGATATTTTTGCACTTCCTTGAGAAATTGACTTCACACTCGGCAATGAGAAATTATCGTGATAACAACACGAGAGAAACCAATGTAAGTTTTAAAAATTTACAGAACTAGCACGGAACTCTTTGTTTGCAAACTAAGTAGAAAAATGCACTTTTCCAACACTTACGCTTGAAAATATGCCATCGGGCTCCAAAATTGTGGAACAGCCATGAGCAGGCCCGGGAACACCTTGAACAGCTCGGGAGGGACCAATGTAAGTTGTGGAAACTTGTGGAACTAGTACAAGACTCCTTGTTTGAAAACTAAGGCCTTGTTTGGGAACAGGCTAATTTAGTAACTTTTTGGCTATTTGGATAAAAAGGTAGGTAAAAAAAACTTGTATGTTTGGGATGACTTTTTGGCTAATTACAAAAAGATGTGCAAAAAGTAGAGAGAAAAGAGAATCTTTGACTTTTAGTATGGGTTGTTGGCTTTTTGGCTAATTTAGTAACTTTTTGGCTAATTGGCTAAAATAGCCTCTTGTCAAACGAGGCCTAAGTAGAAAAATGTACTTTTCCAATACTTAGGCTTGCAAATAGGTCATCGGGAGCTAAAATCGTGTAACAGCCACAAGAAGGCCCGGGGAACACTTTGAACACTTCGGGGGGAACCAATGTAAGTTGTGAAAACTTACAAAACTAGCACCGGACTCTCGATTTGAAAACTAAGTCGAAAAATGCATTTTTCAAACACTTAAGCTTGAAAATAGGCCATCGGGTGGCCAAAATCGTGTAACAGCCACGAGAAGACCCAGGGAACACCTCAAACACCTCAGGAAGGACCAATGTAAGTTGGGGAAACTTATGGAACTAGCATGAGACTCCCGGTTTGAAAACTAAGTAAAAAAATGAACTTTTCCAACACTTAAGATTGAATATAGGCTATCGGGGGGTCAAAATCATGTAACAACCACGAGAAAGCCTGGAGAACACCTAAAACACCTTGGGAGAGACCAATGTAAGTTGTGGAAACTTACGGAACTAGCACAAGACTCTCGGTTTGAAAACTAAGTCAAAAAATGCACTTTTCTCACACTTAAGCTTGAAAATAGGCCATATGGGGCGAAAATCGTGAAACAGTCACGAGAAGGCCCGTGGAACACCTCAAACACCTCGAGAGGAACCAATGTAAGTTGTGAAAACTTACGGAACTAGCATGGGACTCCCAGATTGAAAACTAAGTCAGAAAATGCATTTTTCTCACATTTAAGCTTGAAAATAAGCCATCGGGGGCCAAAATCGTGTAACAGTTATGAGAAGGCCTGGGGAACACCTTAAACACCTCAGGAGGGACCAATGTAAGTTATGGAAACTTACGAAACTAGCGCGAGACTGCCGGTTTGAAAACTAAGTGGAAAAATGCACTTTTCTGACACTTAAACTTGAAAATACGCTATCGGGGGGCCAAAATCGTTAAACAACCACAAGAAGGCCCAGGGAACACCTCAAACACCTCAGAAGCGACCATTATAACTTGGTAAACTTACGGAATTGGCACGGAACTCTCGGTTTGAAAACTAAGTCCAAAAATGCACTTTTCTCACATATAAGCTTGAAAATAGGCTATCGAGGGCTAAAATCGTGTAACAGGCACAAGAATTCCCAAGGAACACCTCAAACACCTCAGGAGGGACCAATGTAAGTTGTGAAAACTTACGAAACTAGTATGGGATTGTCGGTTTGAAAACTAAGTCGAAAAATGTACTTTTCTTACACTTAAGCTTGAAAATAGGCCATATGGGGCCAAAATCGTGTAACAGTCATGAGAAGACTTAGGGAACATCTCAAACACCTTGGGAGGGACCAATATAAGTTGTGAAAACTTACAGAACTAGCACAGGACTCCCAATTTAAAAACTAAGTCGAAAAATGCATTTTTCGCACATTTAGGCTTAAAAATAGGCTATCAGGGGTCAAAATCGTGTAAAAGTCACGAAAATGCCTGGGGAACACCTCAAACACCTCGGGAGGGACCAATGTAAGTTGTGAAAACTTATGGAACTAGTACAGGACTCCCGATTTGAAAACTAAGTCGAAAAATGCATTTTTCTCACACTTATGTTTGAAAATAGGCCATCGATGGCCAAAATCGTTAAACAACCACGAGAAGGCCTGGGGAGCATCTCAAACACCTCGGAAGCGACCATTGTAACTTGTGTAAACTTATGGAACCATAGTTGTTAAATCGGGATTCGTATCGTGAATCGAAATGACCTCGTACCGAATCGCGAATCGTGAATCGTAAAGATTCGGTCATTTTTTTTAAATTACTTAAAACATATATCTACACATTTAGATGTTAAATATATCTTATGAATATAAAATATTTAGACTTAAATTTATGAAAATATTATTTTGAATGATAATCACGTAGTTTAATAGGTAAGAAGGTAACAAAGGTTCCTATGTAAGATCACCATCTTACCTTTTTTTCTTTTTTAGATATGTCTTATCAACCATTCTTAATAAAAAAATAATAACCAAATAGACAAATTATCAATTTCTAAAGTAATAATAATTAACGATATTGATATTTAGACAATAAGTATACATACTTTTCTAAGTAACAGTGAGCAAATAATAAGAAAGAATTATTTAGAATCTTTTATTTTAAAACCTAAAACATTTTAAAAGATATAACTGATCTCAGCAATAGATAATTCATAGTTTAACTTTAATTTTAAACATCATTAGAAGATATATTATGATTTTTTAAAGGAAAAAAAATGAGAAGAAAGGTTAAAAATATGTTGGGTCTGATTAAATCCAATTGGATCCTATTAAAAACTCCATAATTACTAAAATAACAACAAATCATGTATATACGTTAGTTATTTTGGTATTAAACACTACTAGAAGTTGTATTATGTACTTTTCACCAAAAAGATGGACAAAAAAAGAGACGAAATATGTCGGACACAATAATTTCAAAAATTGCATGAATCGTAAAAAGTGAATCGAATCGTGAATCGATTGTGAATCGTACGATTCACTAGAGATTTACTTCCAAAATAGATTCACCCATAGATTCGTATCGATTTTACAAAAATTGTGAATCGAATCGTGAATCGAATCGCGAATCGTAAGATTCTGATAATAGAGTAAGGAACTAGCACGAGACTCCCGATTTGAAAACTAAGTCAAAAAATGCATGTTAAATTGTATATTTAATTGATAAGATAATAATGGCCTAACTTTTATTCTCTCTCTCTTTTGTGTGTGTGTATGTGTGTGTGTGTGTGTTTTGTTTTGTTGCAGATTCGAAATTAGATATGGACATGTTTGGTAATCTGGAGAGCAAAAGCTAGCTCATTTTGTGTTTTTGTTCATTTTATCTTACATGTATTTTGGTTGTATTGTAAATTTTACATTTTTGTGGATATTAAAGGACATGTTTGGTCATCCGCACTTGATATTATATTTTGTGGATATTAGTAGACATGTTTTTTGTGGATATTAGGAAACGCGTTTGGTAATTCGCATGCGTTTGATATTGTATTTTTGTGGATATTAGTAGACATGTTTGGTAATCCGCATGCAGTTGATATTGTATTTTTGTGGATAGTGTTGAAATTCGACTGTGGTGTTTATGAAAATGAACAGATTTTTGTATTGATTTATAATGGATATTTTATTGAACAAGTTATTAAAATGTGCAGGGAATTTTTAGTGAAAAGAAAAATTTTAAATTGGAAATATTTTCCCCATTTAAATTTTTTTTAATTATTATTAGTGACAAAAAAATTTCGCTATTAGTTTTCAAACAACATGACGAATAATTTTGTCACTAATGATATAGTACCAAACAAATAATTTCATAACATTTGCTAAATATTTTGTCTCTAAATTGAAATATTTGATGACAAAATGTTTTTTTGTCATTGAAGAGTTTTCTTTTGTACTCATTTTAGTGACGAATTTTTTTGTCACTTTAATCTATATCATTGGTGAGGAAAAATTTTGTCACTAAAACCTATTTGGTGACGAAATATTTCGTCACCAAAACAGTTAAAATAAAATATTATCTAATTCTAGTGACGAAATTGATGTTATAGATGACGAAAAATACAACATTTGGAGATGAAAAATTTCATCGCCAAAAATAAAAAATAAGCGACGAAACTATTTTCGTCACCAGGTACTTTCAACGACAACATATAGGTGACAGACATGGTGACAAAAATTTTTCGTCACAAATCACTTTGGTGATGGTGATGAAAATTTGATGTTTGAAGACAAAATCAGTCTGTCACCAAAGGCCTTTTTTGTTGTATTGTTTGTTTTATGTTACAGTGTGAATGTTCACATTGGTATGAATTTAGTTTTTCTAAGATTAGTTGTATATTAATTGTAAATTGTGGTTTATTTTCAATATAGGTTTTTGTTTTGCTGATAAAAAAAAAAAAAAAATTTTAAATTGTGAACATTCATATTGTATTTTGTTATGAGTTTTTTATTTTTGAAGTTTTTTCGAAAGTTAGTTGTATTTTGTTGTTTTTTTTTATTATACTTGTTGAACAATCATTTTTGTTACCATTGAACAATCGAAATAGTCGATTTTTATTTTTTTTTCAATTTTATTTTATGTTTTCACATTGTAGTGTGAATGTTCACATTAGTATGAGTTTATTTTTTTTTAAAAAAACTAGTTGTATATTAATTGTAAATTATAAACATTCACATTGTAATTTGGTATAAGTTTTATTTTTCTGAAAGTTAATTGTATGTTTATTATTTTTGTTACTATACTTGTTGAATAATCAATTTTGTTACCATCGAACAATTAAAATAGTCGATTTTTACTTTTTTCACTTTTATTTTTTGTTTTCACGTTGCAGTGTAAATGTTTGTACTGACATGCGTTATTTTTTTTTAAGGTTAGTTATATGTTAATTATAAATTGTGAATATTCTCATTGAATTGTGGTATGAATTTTATTTTTTCGAAAGTTAGTTATATGTTTTTTGTTTATTGTGAACATTCATATTGTACATTATTATGTGTTTTGTTTTTTCAAAAGTTAATTGTATGTTTGTTGTTTAATGTGAACATTCATATTGTATTTTAATTTTCATTCAGATTTTTTGTTACATTATTTTTAAAATTTTCAAATTATAAAAATGTTCAAAGTTCATAATTTGAGATTTTTTTTCCATGGAATGCGGGAGAAATTTTCTCCTTAGAATAAGGGAGAAATTTTCTCCATAGAATAAGGGAAATATTTTCTTTTTATAATGAGGGAGAGATTTTCTCCATAAAATTAGGGACTGTTGTTACGTATTAGTTTCAAAATAGAAACATGTGCAAAAAATTAGAAAGGATGATTTGGTCATATTACATTAAATAGGACTTCATGGAATTGTAAAAAAGAATATGGGTTAGATGGAATAAAATATCTAGAAAGAGGATTTATCCAAAAAAGCCCATTTTTAATATATAAAATTATGTTTGGGTGAAGAAAATCCAGAAATTATATTAGAGAGTATTTGATCCCAATTTTTCAACCATATATATAGATATATATACTTGTTTTAAACCCTATTTTAGATACCTTTTTAATTCGTTAGATGAAGTTACAAGGGATTAAAAAATGTAATGGTATATCTGAGTGGAAATAACATTAAAATGTGTTAATTAAATTAACTATTTGTTGTGACTTCGTATTACATAGGTTTGATATTAACCTGATAGGTTTGATATTCATGTTATCCTATCATGTCAGGTTCGAGCTTGTGTAGGTGGGGGTTGAGATCTTTGTAGGAAACTAGGGGCTGTCCTGTTCTGTTTGCACTGGGTTGGGTTGATCTGTGGGTTTTTGCAGACCAGGAGCTTTGCTTTGGTTCAGTTCTTGCTTCCTATTGTTGTGTTGCTGCAGTGAAGCTGGGGGATGCTGGGTTGCTGTTTGGTTGCTGGTATTGATGTTGTTGCTCTGAGGTAAGGTGTTGTTGGAGAGCTGGTCAGACTTTTATTGGCTGATCACTTTACCAAGACCTTATCTGGATGGGTTGCTATAGGGATGCTACTGTGTGACAAGGTGTGAAAGAGGAAACTGCTGCTGAGAATGCAGTATTGGTATTAAGGGTGCTCTTCTTGTTCTGGCTGTCTTGGTGTTGTTGTTACTGGTTTTGTTTGGTGTGGTGTACTGGTTTGGTTTGGTGTAATTTAGGAGATTGAGGATTGAGTGTGTGTTTAATGGGAAGTAATTTAGGATGGTGGAGTTGACTGTATTGATAAAGTTAAGGATTGCAGTCTGGTGTAAAACTGATTCCATAGATGGTTTTACTCAGTATAGCGATCCCGGGTTTACCCTTGTTGTACAGTGATCCGGACATGTGTCCGTGGATGTTGGTAGTTGTTTATTATCTTGTTTGCATCCTCTTTACTTTGTATATTGAGTTATAGGATGTGTTGGGCAGGTTTGTTACAGGTTGGTCGAGTTTAGAAACCAAAACTAGTTGCCCAGATTTTGACCTGTCCGCTCGAGCAGAG